AATACAGTAAAGGCAAGTAGTAACTCAGCAGCTGCAATAGTTTTCACATCAGGTCTCAGCCAACAACCCCAATAAATTAGTCAAATCCTTCAAGTGTAAACTTTCACCCGTAAGTTTTTAAATTGAGGTCTTTAGAATATAATCCTTTCCAATAAGAAATTATTTTTGAAATATACTTCCTTCAAATAAATATCTTTCAAACATAGTTCTTTCAAGATAAAACCTTTCAAATATAAACTTTTCAAATAATTAGCCTTCAAACATAGTTCTTTCAAGATAAATACTTTTCGAATATAAACTCTTCAAGTAATATCCTTCGAGTATAAGTCATCCTGTGACACCTAAGCATGGAAGATTTGCAGCTCCGAATACAGATATAACCACAGGGGAAATCTACCGGGATACCGTCCCGTAGTCCCGAATTAATTATGCAAGACAGGGGGATCTCCCGGAATACGTCTGTAGTCCCAATTTAAATATGCAGGGCTGGGTGATCTCCCAAAATACGTCTGTAGTCCCAATTTAAATATGCAGTACTGGGGGATCTCCCGAAATACGTTCGTAGTCCCAAAATAAATATGCAATGCTAGGGGATCTCCCGGAATACGTCTGTAGTCTCAATTTAAATATGCAGTGCTGGGGGATCTCCCGAAATACGTTCGTAGTCCCAAAATAAATATGCAATGCTAGGGGATCTCCCGGAATACGTCTGTAGTCTCAATTTAAATATGCAGCACAAACAATAGAGATAACAACTATAACACGACAGAAACCTCGTACATCACCACAACGAGTACAAAAGCAACAATAACATAAATGCAAGGTACGACGAGCAAATCAACTCAAGAATTTAAATCACAAGATAGGTAGAACTCATTCACAAGGAATAACTACAGTAAAGAATGCTAGGCACAAGAGAACAACTTAACAAGGGAAAACAAAACAAAAATGTAGCAACAATTCCACAATATTCAAGTCAACAATAAGAAGCCAACACGAGTCAAATAGTTCCAAATAATGGCAAGTCAACTAAGATATAGGTTATCTAAACTCCTTTTGAGGTTGAGCAATTACGAGGAAAATTCAACAATTAAAGTAAGGATAAGCAGCGGAAGATAATCATAACTCCAATTAAGACTAAACAACTATAGGATGAGAAAGTAATAATTTTAATTAAAGATAAGCAGTTATGAAAAATATAGCACGACGATAGAAGAGATAAAATCTTTGGTTAAGTCGAATAAGGGTCAAATAACCAGTAAGAGTGAATCCTAAAGCAATTATCTCTAATCAAAGCATGTAGAGGTGAAACTAGCAAATAGAAATTCAAACGTATCAAAAACAACATCATACACAGTGAATATAAGGACATAAGGACCCTAAAAGGCCAACTTTCCACAAATAAGTCCGAGCACGCACTCGTCACCTCGCGTACACAGACTACAATCAACATAGATGACTCAAATCCTAAGGGGTAGTTCCCCCACACAAGGTTATGCAAGATACTTATCTCGAGTCAAACTCAATCAATCCGTAAGAATGCCCTTTCCATGAATATCCGTCTCTGAATGACCCAAATCTAGCCAAAAGCAATTACATATCATATTTACAATCATAATAGACTCATCTAATTAATTAAATCAATACTTTAACAAAAATTTCGAAATTCGCCCTAAAAAGTCGACATGGGCCCACGTCTCGGAATCGGGTAAAAGTCATACAATACGAAAGCTCATTCACTCACGAGTCTAACCATATCGAATTTACTAAAATCCGACACCAAAATCTCATCAAAACCCCAAAATTCGGCCTAAGAACTTTTCTCAAATTTTCACCCCAAATCCGAATTTAAACGATGAATTCTAACATAGATTAGTGGAATATAACCATAAGGGAGTTAAGAATCATTACCCAAAAACTTCCTCCGAAAATCTCTCCAAATTCCGCCTTCTACCGAGCTCTCAATCAAATTTGTGAAGTGAACTTCAAACCCTCGAATCTGCCCCTTTTCTGCCCAGTTATTCTGCATCTGCAGACCTTGGGTCGCACCTGCGACGCCGCACCTGCGGAATTTCCTTCGAAGGTGCAGAAACGACTTAAGAGGGCTGGGTCCACTTCTGCGAAAAAAGGGCCTCACCTGCGAGTGCGCGCCTGCGGACTATTGTCCGCTTCTGCAATCTCCTCCGCTCCTGCGTGACCCTAACGCATCTGCGGGCATCGCAGATGCGGAATTCACCTCGCACCTGCGACCCCTGGCACTCTTCCATTTTTCCTCTTATGCGCTTGCCTCCCCACATGTGCGATCACGCACCTGCGGTCTCTCCACCGCATGTGCGAAAATGACAGATGCCTGAAGACTTCAGCAGCAACACAAATCCAACTTTTGATCCGTTAAGCACTCGAAACTCACCCGAGCCCCTCCGGGACCTCAACCAAACATACCAACCAATCCTAAAACACCATACAAACTTAGTCGAGCCCTCAAATCACATCAACTAATGCTAACATCACGAATCACCTTCCAATTCAAACTTAAAGAACTTGAAACTTTAAATTCCTACAACCGATGCCGAAACCTATCAAACCACGTCCGAATGACCTCAAATTTTGCACACAGGTCACAAATGACACTGCAAACCCACAACCACTTTCGGAAATCCATTCCGAGCTCGATATCAAAATTTTCACTATCGGTCGAAATCGCCGAAAATCTAACTTTCGCCAATTCAAGCCTAAATCTACTACAGACCTCCAAAACACATTCCGGACGCGCTCCTAAGCTCAAAATCACTCAATGGAGCTAACGGAGTTGACAGAATTCCATTCCAGATCCGTCTTCACACAGTTCCGACTATGGTCCAAATTCTAAGACTTAAGCTCTCATTTAGGGACTAAGTGTCCCAAATCACTTCGAATCACCCGATAATTGAATTCAACTACGCATGCAAGTCAAGGCACATAATACGAAGCTTCTCAGGGCCTTATGCTGCCGGACGGGACTTAATTCTAAAAACCACTGGTCGGGTCGTTACACTCCCGTAGTACCTCTCAGGTACCTGCGTATCCACTTGACCGTTCCCCGATGTTCTTTTCCAGGATTTTTAAGGAACCTGCTAACAACACCAACTGCACGAGTAATATCAAGTTTGGTACATACCATTACATATATCAGGCTTCCGACTTCTAAGAATAAGGAACTCTGGCTATGCTCTCTTTGTATTCCATTGTTGTAGGATACATCTTCTGGCTCAACTTTATATGACTAGAAAACGACGTGCTAACGGGCTTAGAACTCTTAATATTGAAGCGTTCCAGTACATATTCAATGTGCTTCTCCTGAGATAACCACAACTTTCTGCTTGTTCGTTCCCCAATAATTTTCATCCCTAGAATTTGTTGTGTTAGGCTCGTGTCAAATGACTTGGATAAATCTCCCTTCAACTTGGCAATCAACTCTTTGTTTGTCCTACAATTGACATGTCATCCACATATAATAACAAAATAATAATATTGTTGTCAGAAAATCTTTTGAAGTATACACATGATACTGAAAAGGTCTTTGTGTACGTTTGGCTTTTTATAAATGGGTCAAACTTCATGTACCACTGCCTTGGTGTCTGCTTGAATTCATAGATTCTCATTCAATTTGTACACCATATGTTCCTTTTCAGCTACTTCAAATTCTTGTGGAAGCTCCATATAAATCTCCTCATCTAAATCTCCTTGAAGAAATACATTTTGCACATCCAACTTTTTACCACCAATCGAAACTTTTTACCGGTTTATCAAGATCTAGAGTAGATGCTAAGCTCAAAATTATTCCAATAGAAACCATTTAAATAACAAATAAGAAAAAATCGTCAAAATCAATACCTTTCTTCTGTTCGAAGTTTTTTACCGCCAATCTAGCTTTGTATCTGACCAAGTTGCCTTTTTTCTCTTTCTTGAGTTTTAAAGATCCACTTGCACTTGAATGGTCTTTTATCATTCGGAAGTTCGACGAGCTAGTATGTGCCATTTTTCCATAGAAATTTCATCTGGTCTTGCATGACTTTCATTACTGGTTCTTTTCTAGATGGAATAACACTTTCTTATGACTTTCTGGCCTCCCATCACTTATGAGTACATACTCCGAGGAACTGTACTTGGATGACTACCTTTTGCCATTCTGATTTCCTCAAAGGTTGAGATTGCCTCTCTATTGAAAGTTTTGCATAATAAAGTTGCCGCTAGATTTAGTAGGCGTTTGGACATAAGAATTGTAAAATTCCGGAAAAAAGTGAATTTTTTTTCAAGTGAAAATGATATTTGAAAACTAGAGTTATGTTTGGATATGAATATAATTTTGGGTTGTTTTTGAAATTTTGTGAGTGATCTGAGTGAAAATTTTGAAAAATAATTTTTTTGAGTTTTTTAAATTTTCTAAAAATTTCAAAATCCATCTTCAAGTGAAAATTTAAAAATTTATGAGTCAAACACTAATTTCGAAAAAAAGTAAAAAAATTTCGAAAAAAAGTAAAATTTTTCTTATGTCCAAACGGGCTCTTAGTTGCACAATACTTTCTTGCTAAATGCTCCTCTATTAGTCTACATGCGCTCTGTCCTCAAATTTAACACAAGTGTACTGCAACTCAACTTTTAAGGTTCAAATATAACACTAGTGTTGAATTGTAATTCAATTTTTAAGGTTCTATTTACTAGTATTTGTTACCATTTTAATGAATTTTTACGCATTTTGAATGTACATTTGAATCTAGTACCATAACGTTGAATACGCCCCTGGTGCACACGCTCTCACCCTGGCCCATAGCTAGTACGCAATTTCATAGCTCGCCTTTGGCAACCTACTGAAATTTCTTACATGCTTGTGTTCATTTACATTTCGAAACCATTAAGTTTGCTCTTATTTAGGATTCATGAGGAAGGGAACAAAAAGGTAATATACTGGTCTCTGCTGACAATTTCCTGCCCTTTACATTATAACTACTAGCTCAAAAAAATAAATAAACCAACAAATAAAATCTTCCTGATTTCCCTTTCATTCATAGCAAAGGAATGTGACTTCTGTCTCAATTCACTACAAAATAATTTAATTTCCTATGTATATGCTCGACCTATATACCATTGTCTTATTAATTTTCATGCAATTTCATTCACTACCACTTTGCTTCCTACAATCTCAGGTGCCTTTCTACTCCTCTCTTCTCCTCTCTGCTAACACGGATGCCTCATTCTTTACATGGGTCAAACAAGCTTCGACGTTGGACGATAATTGGATATCGCTTCTGCATCCTTGTCGTCGGGAAGAAAACTAATTTATCTGGTTCAGCCGGAACCCAACTGTAAAGCAAAAATTTGCACCAACAAAACCGGTCTCTACACTTCAGAAAAAATCGAAAAATTTGTGTTTTTGGAAAATGATGTCTACATAGCAAAGCGAACGTACCTATAACGAGTCACTAAATGGTGAAGGAAAACACACAGCTCTACTCTAGCAAGCTCATAACCAGGACAACGCCGTGGTCCTCCGCCAAATGGTGTGAATACATTAGGTGAGCTTGTTGATCCTGCATTACTCTGTTTACAGAAGTTTTGGTAAATGTTTATTCATGTAAGTCAACGTTTTCCTTTTCTTTATTTTGGTAACTGGGGAGTTCAGGTAGTCGTAAAAGAGAGATACGGACATAGTAACGCACCTGCCACCTCCACGGATCGAATGTACGGGCATCTTTGAAATGTTCATGATCTAGATGAACAGCTCGGAAACAAGCAAAAACCTTCCAACCTTTTGGAATAGTATAACCTGAAAGGATATCACAAGATTCAATCAATTAGATCAAGTACCAAATATTGATCATATGAAAAACATAACAATGGTCTTGTCATGACTAAAAAAGTGCATATAGTAATTGAAGTAATCATAGGCCTGGTCGACCCCCAAATTCATGACATTAGAAGAGAATATGCTATTGATTGTTAGATGCACAACTCAATTTACTTTTCACATGTAACATTCCATAGCACTTCTCTTGATTTCAAAATGACGCAGTCATATCGGAAGTGCCATGTTACACACATTGAGAGGGAAATCGCCCCTTTTCACAAACAAGAAGACGAGCATCTTACCTTTGATGTTGATATCGGTCATAGTTCTCCTGAATACTCCGCTAATTATGTTACCAACTCGTAGAGTTTCATTAACAACCTGAACATAAAAACATAGACGTATATCATGAGGGCTGAACGGATAAGAAAATTTGAGCTAAATAATATGAGTTAATTTGTTAAATAAAGCACTTACACATTGAGTGAAGGGCATGGATTTGTAGTCTTCCCACAGTAGAGACTCAACTTTACCTTTTTTTAACCTGATCTCCTCGTGCTCCTCCTGCCAAAACAAGTTTTAATTATAAATCAATAATTTATCTTTGCTAAATTCTTGGCTAATATTGTGTTTAAAAAATATATATTGTTTCCTCCTCTATTAAATAAATATGATCCAGTCTTGTGATCAATAATGCTCCCCTTTTCAGTTGATATAGGCAAGTTCTTAAAATAATGACTTGAAAGCGAGAGAGTAAATTAAGTAATGTTAAAATATCAAACCACATTAGAATTATATAAAGCAACGACGAGACAGTTTTAAAGGGACTTGAGTTTTTTAGGATAGAGTAAGAAAGAACAAAGGTCAGAGTTATTGGGAGGAGGTAATACGAAAGGAAAAGATAAAAATGGCGGGCATGTGGCTGCAATTAATACAGAGCAGACAATAGACACAACCCTCCTAAGAAATTAGGAATCAGATTGAGAACTCAGCTACGTTAGCGTTGGTTCAAATTCACCAATATGCTGTCTACTTTTTCTGACTTCTAATTTACAACCCCTCGAAATCAGCATACACCTTTTTCCTAAAGTTTTCCCTTTTTCAACTTACAATCGTCTAAATCAATTACTCCTCTTATTTGAGAGAGCACCAAGTTTAAAAAAAATATGAAGATTTATATAAATTGTAATATATGTGTGACTATAGTTCCTTTATAATTTATAGTCTTAAACATGATACAGTCTTTGTATGGTTATGGCTATAAGAGCTTTTCATTGAAAGTTTAATTATTTTAAAATCAAAAAGTGACTATTCTTTTTCAAACGAATTAAAAAGAAAATAGATTCACATAAATTAAAATAAAAGGAGTAAAAAAGGTTAAGTTCATAAAGAGAATCCTAATGAGAGTAATTAAAACGGTTAAGAAGCCACAAAAACATTAATCAATTGTGCATAATAAAAGAGAGTTTAGCTTCTATACAGAGTTAGGATTCGAAATTAGTATCTTCGAAATTTTAGTCTTTTTAAGTTATTGAGTTTTAAATTAATAATTTACATATTTTTAATGAATTTCTTCAGACAAATACAGAGCTTGAACCAAAGTTACTAGATTCGACCGAACCCGTAACTGACATTGCTAGCTCCGCTTATGCTTCTATACACTAACAATACAAAAAATATTTAGACACTACTACGATATCATCAAACAAATAATTACATGTAATTGCACATAATAAATTATATATATATATATATATAGAAAAAAGACAATAGGTTACAACACGTAAAATTGATGGTGTGTAACTAAATAACCCAATTTATTAGATAAAAATATTAAAGAGAAAATAAAAAAACAAACATAGGCGTGCAGAAGTATGTTCAGACTTTAAAGAGAAGGCAACATCATTTTGTCCAGTGGTTGTATCCCTAGTTATCCGGTTATTTCCTTTATTCGACAGAGCATAGACCAGATGCTTCTGCTTTTCTTTGACTATTCTCCTCTTTACCTGACTACTTTCACCCCCTAACTTTTGACTATAGGTCACATGTCTTAGTACATGTAGCTATACTCTCCATTGAATATTTAACTCTCAAAAAATATTTTAATACCCAAGGATGTGGCACAGTCGATGGGGCCGGAGAGGTCTTGGGTTCAAGTACTGAGTATAGAAAAATCTTTAGTAGGGAACGTTTTCTCCTAATAGAGCCCTACGCGATGCGAATTCGGATATAATCGGACTCCAATACGGGTACCGGAAACCGGGTGAAAAATCAAAAAAAAAAAGGAGAAATTCAAAAATAGCCAGATTTACAAGTGGTAATTGAAAAATAGCCACAATTTCAAAAATAATCGAAATTTAACCACTTTTCATTTAAGATAAATCTGAACGAAAACACTATTCAAAATCCGGAACATAGTCCAGCATAATATACCGGTCCATCATATAATATGCTGAAAGTTCATACACAAGTGCTTCAATCTCCGGTATATTTATGCTGGAACTTCCGCGTGTTAGAGTTCCAGCATAATATGCTAAAAGTTCATACACAGATGCACCAATCTCCAGTATATTATGTTGGACCGGTCTATGTTGCAACAAAATAATGGCTATTTTTCAATGACTGTGCAAACACTGACTATTTTTGAATTACCAGTGCGAAAACTGACTAGCACGTGCTATTTTTACAAAAAAAAATAATAATAATTAACAACTTTGTGTACCGGTTTACCTGACACATTCAAACAATTTTTGAATACAACTTTCTCTTTAAATATTTTAAATTATAAAAGTTGTAATTTATATTATCTCCGTCTTAATTTACGTGATACCGTTAGAATTTTCAAAAGTTAAATTTCTTAACTTTGACCTCAAATTTGGACATAAATTTTAAAATCTTTTAAAATAGAATTTACATATTTAAAAACTACATAAAAAGTATTATAAGTCACAATAATGAATAATTCAAAATATTTAAAAGGCATATGAACAAAAAATTACAGTAAAAAAGAACTCAATTTATGTTATGTTCTATTGGTTAATATAAATGTGAATAATAAGGTGGAAATATGGGAATATATGTTAATGCGTCAATTCTTTTTTGTATTTCAAGTAAAAACACATGAATAAAAGATCTCCATGTTAGGCTCGCAGGGGTCCCAAGTGCATTCAATATCCACTTATCTTTTTGTGTTGTGTGTGTCACATAATACCAGCAATTACCAATAAAATAATACATGCAAATTAAGATAAAGTAATGGGGCATATTGATATTTCTAGAAAGGGTATTGAATTCAATGAGGTATGTGGTACGAACTTGGATGCACGTGTGATGTTGATACAACAAAGAGTCTAGCTAGGGACACATGGGGCTACCAAACAATCCTTTTTCTTGAGTATACCAATTGCCAATCTCTCTACTTTGTCGGCCACAAAGGCCAATTTATGAAATGATATTCATTTATTGTAGTTTAATTATTCTAATTACATACTAACCCTTTTATTCCTATAAAAATTAGCTACAAGATTCGCGTATCTCATTTTGAATTTAAATATACTAAGAGTAGGGAAAAGGTCGAACTGAAACATGCATCCGAGGAACATAGCATATGCTGAAGTATTTTTTTTTCTTTTACTAATACTGAAAGCAAGTGAATATATTGAAATAAAAAACGAGGAATTGGAGGAAAATTCGGATAAGAGGCACCAGCTAAGAGACAAACCCCCTCCCCTCCCCTCCCCACCCCAAGAAAAAAAGAGAAATATACTTTAGAATTTAAAATATTGCTTTACAAATTAAATAAGTCAAAAGGTGGCGCGATTTTAGTTTCTCGAGTACTGAATCTAGCAAAAGGTCAATAAAGAATTACGTAGATCAAAGGTTTTTGGTTGTAAGGGGAGACTACCACTTTCGAAGAGAATATGAGGACTTAAAATTTTGGGGGAGAAATTATTCCTTGGGTTTGTACTGTGTTGAAATTGATGCCAAGTGTTTAGTTGTAGGCGGCGGGGGCGAGGAATGAGTGGAGAGATCCTCTCCATAATTTGCTTGGATGAGAATTTAGATAAGAAGATAATTCATCTACTACTATTGAAGAAGAAAAACAGGACCAACATGTGTTAGCAACTTTAGGGTCCACTACTCAAAATTCATGATTATTTAGGACTCCATCTTATTATGTTTCAAAAAGATGGTTATTTTTTATATTTAATAACTTTAGGAGTGATGGTTCATACCTTGAGGAGGGAAAGAGCATGGGGTGTCTCAGTAAGGAATTTGACAGCAAGGGTCATAATAGTAGAGGTAGTTTCATAGCCAGCCACAAGCAAAGCCAGCATAAAATCCACTATTTCCTCATCCGAAAATCCATCTCCTTCTACGCCGTCCCCTTCAAACAACGCCTCCAACATATCATTCTTTAATCTCTCTCCTCCTTCTCCTTCTCTCTCTTTTCTCCTCTCTCTTACCACTAATCCCAACGCCTCCGCCACCTTCCTTCTCGCCTGAAATTAAATAACAACAACTAATTAATACTATATTGTATTAAGTAATAATATTCTCCTCCAAAAGCATAACAAAAACTCAATTTACTTGAATGGCCTTGCGGTAGGTAGAAGAGAAGAAGGGCAAAGGAATGGTGAAGAAGCCTTCAATCACAAGCATGTACTCTTTCATCAGCTTCTCTGTCCACTCGCATGGATCTAAACTCATCAGCTGCTTCACTGTTAGATTAAACGTTATCTGCACATTTCCAACATCCATCACTTGTTAATACTAACTTTAGAACAAAATAATAAAGACACATAATAAAAAGTAAAGATCGAGCCAAGGAGAATGATAACATCCATCACATTCTTTCTAATGGACATGCACATGTGGTTTTATGCTTTCATGATAATTTATGCGGCCCTGTTTACTTATTACATGCATAATAATACTAATATATAGTATACTTTTGCTAGCTCCTTTTGTATACACTAAAGTTAGTCGAACTTGTGATACCCCACCAACACCAAGCATATGAAATCTGACTCATCTATCCATTTCTTTATTCTCTAAGCCAATAAAACTCATATCTCCTTTTTTGCTTGGCATGCGCCGCTTACATTTTTGGTATAGAAAAATCGATACTCCCTTGGTCTTTTATATTTTTGGTATTTGCAAACTCATTTATTTACTAATAGCTTAATCAAAAAGAGTTTTTCACTAAAGTACACTTATCTCTCTCTTTTACTTGAATATTTTTTACTAAATTATTATTATTATATGCCTTTTTGGAATGGTAACGATAAAAATTTTAAAAATTAATTATTTAATGACAAATATTTTGTAGGACGATATTGATTACCTTCTTGGCCTCTTCCATGAGGAAGACACGACCGGTCCAGGAATCCAAATTAAGCCTAACCAACCGGTCTATATCGGCCAACAAATGGTCCTTAAGAATGGAAGAATTAGCAAAACTCATGGTCAAAGAATGCATTCTTTTATGAAGACTGCCTCTCATAAGCAACAACGAATGCTTTCCTAGCAAATTCTGTAACGAACTCGGATAGCTAGATTCGAAGAGCCGGCCTTCATTCTGCAAAATGAACCGGTTCGTCTCCGGGTCAGTCGAGAAAACCGTCGGTTCACCAAATACATGGGTGGTGAAAATATTGCCGTATTTAGCAATCCGGTCATCGATGAACGGCTCCGGGTTTTCGGTTTTATAGGCGGAGATTAGCTGGAGGGTTTCTCCGATAAAAGGGAGGCCGAGTGTTCCCGGCGGGAGACGGATTTTACGGCGGCGAAAATGGGCGGCCGCCGCTGCCCGGAGGAGAAGAAAGGTGATAAGAGAGATGGAGAAAGAGAGGAAAAGATAGATAATTAAGTCCATGTTTTATTTGTTGTGTTGTTTCACATAGAGGAGTAGCAGTAGTATAGAAAATGGTTTGTGGGTGGGTTCTTATGTAGTAGTAGCAGTAGTAATAGTGAGGGAGTGAAGGGTGAAAACATTTGGAAAATGAGAAATAGAAGGTTATTAATGGAGAAGATAGAGAGAGAATCTACCATGAAATCTAGGGGAAAGAAAGAGAATGTGATAGGGGTGGATCAAGGCTTGGGATGGCAACACATTAATTTATTTTATAGAATGGGATATTTTTCCTTTTTTAGTGGAAAGACTTTTTAATACTACTATTATAATGTTACTTATTGTGTGTCCTCCTTTTAAGGTTATTGATTAGTCTTTGTATAGAAAACTATCTATAGTTGCATTTAAATGACCTTATGATACAAATTCTTTTCCAATTAATGTCTAGAACTTATACCCATTTTTCCTTTTTCTCTATCCCTTTATACATTTTTCCATTATGTCTCTTTTCCTTTCCTATTTTATTATGAACATGTTTTTAAATTTTAAATGGATGATTTTGTCCTAGAAATAATGAATTAGTACTAACATTTTGAATGGAATTGCCGAGTAATCAAGAGATCACCAAAATGTACCAGTCACAAACATAATTCAATAACGTACAATTAAATTTTATGTTTTAATTAACTATGTAAGTGAAGATTGTTATTGACAGTGACGCAATACGCACGTTAATAAAGTTAAATATTTTCATGTTTTATTTATTTGCAGATTGAATTCAAGAAGCTATATTTGTAACAAGGGCGGGGCGGCTTTAGGGTAAGGCAAGTGAAGTCATTGGCTAACGGCTCCAAAAATAAGTATTGTATTAATATTNGTTGTACGGGTGAGTGAGTAAATACCGATAAATTTTTTCTCATTACATTAAATACTCCTAGTGTATTTACCTTCTCAATTCTCATTAATTCTAAGTTTTCTTCCTCTATGCACACTCTTCTTTTATATATTTCTGATGATTTATATTTTTCAACTTACAATCAGTTTTTTTGAATTAGCTATTTCTTTTTCTCATATTTAATTGATCCATACATCAAAAAATAAGTTATTTTATTTCTCATCTTTTTCAACTAAGAAATCTTTGGGGGCAAGCGACGCAAAGTTCGAAACTCGGTATATAATGGACCCATTCTTCTATCATTTTTCACTTAAATACTGTACTTTTATTTTTTTGTGAAAATTTAAACTATGACGAGCTCCGGCATATAAGAAGCTATGCCCTTACCACTAGACCAAAGTCATATGAGTTTGTTTTGAGTCTCATTAGTATATGTGTTTTATAAAGGAATTTTAAGTGCCTTCTAATATTTTTGGTTTTAGGATTTTTGGTTTTAGGCCACCAAATTTGTTGTGCTGCCCCTGATTTGTAACTACAAAAATGAGTTATTTTCTTATGACCGTTCTAAAAGTGACCATTTTAGAACATAATCTATACTTTATTAAAAGTACGAAGGCCCTTAGCGAAATGTCGTTCGCCTTTTTTATCCTTAAAAAGAAATGTACGGATATTAAAATCAATTAAATAAATTTTACCTTATAAATATCAAACAATATATTTATAATACTTTATTGTAACTAGACATACAAATTAGGAACGTAAATATCTCATGAATTTGATAAGAATTTCAAAATTCCCATTGGATTTACACTTCTGTTCCAAATTAAATAACTTATCAATTTTTTTCTAGGAATTATAAGGCCAACCTCTTTATTCCAAAATCTGTAATAGATAAAAAGATCAATTTTTTAAATTTTGGTTATTTGACAAATCACAACAAGATATTTAAGGACTTATGTGGAACTGATATTTTTTTCTTTATTGAGTTAGTAAAATGGGATCAATATTCATTATTTTTAGGAATAACTTAAATATATTGCTTAATAATAGTTATGTGAATTTTTAAAAGTATATATTCATCGATTTGGTATACGCGCAGAGCGCATATTTTATAATTAAATTTGTTGAAGTGAAATATTATCATTTCAAAATTTAAAAATAAATAAATAAATAAACACGGCAGCGAATAGTTTATTAAGCCAAGTGTAGTTAGGTTTCGAAAAGTCTAATTTTAGTAATACATAATCAGCGAATAAATATAGCTTGGAGAAATTTTTTATCTTATTTTATTTTGGAATGAATGGGTTGATTTCTTAGAGTTCAAAGACAGTTGCATAGTAAAAATCAAGTTGTCTGGTTAGGATAGGTATAAAGGAGTCCTTTTATCCCATTATGGAATTGTTTCTTTGAAGGAAATTTTTATATTTTAGAATAGATTGAATATATTACATTAGGGGTGTCAATGAATATTCGAAAATTGACTAAACTGACCGAATCGTACCGCACTGAACCGATTCTTAGGTATCTTTTAAAGAAACCGTAGGTTTTTATATAAATTTATAATCGCACCAATAATTAGGATATGTTTTTTATTTTATAAAAATAAATCGAAAACATACCGAACCGTACCGAATAAATTTTACATGTGGAAAATATATTTATATAGTAAATTTAAAAATAATAATGCATTAAATTTTTGTTTGGGCCTTGGAATTATGAAAATTATTGCAAGTCAATAAGTAATTAAACTCAAAATACTAATTCCTAAAACCTATTATGCTACTTCTACTTAAACTAAGTTATTTCAAGTATCTTCATTAGCAAGACACAAAGTATTATAGTGATTATGAGTAGCAAACTACAATGTATTGAATATGTTTTCTTTCATATAATTTAGATTTATGTTTTTGAATATTTAATCTTTTATAGACTTTATTCTCGAGTCCCGGTTTGGTTAATATCTTTTCACTGGTGTGATTTATATTTTCTTTGCCCTTACTTGATTTCTCTTTACGTTGTTGTAGAATAGTTGATGGATCTATACTCTAGCCATATTTTATTTTTTTAATTTATCACCCTTTAAACAGTAAAAATATCTAGAGAGTTTTGCTAAGTCCTATAAAAGGACGTATGTTATTGCATTCTACTTCTACTAGTGAATTTTACATGATATTTTAAAAAATACTGAAAATTAACGGAACCGTACCGATACCGATACCGAAGAAAAACCGACATGATTGGGACGGTTTCGAAAAGTCTAATTTTGATAATACATAATAGAATAACCGAAAATTGGTATGGTATAAATTTTATAAAATAACCAGCCGAACTGAACCATTGACACCCCTATATTGCATGATGATTGAGGACTTCTATGGGACATAGTTTCTTCCATTTATTGAATTACTTAAGATAGACATTCATCAATTTTAGGAGCTTATATTTTTTTATAACTTAAATATATTTTTTAATATAACTTTTGTATAATTTCTAAAAAACATTATTCATAAATGTGAAAATCTCAACATCGGATATAGAGGAGTTTGATTACTTGTTCGAAATTGATAAACATATAGTAATGGTGAATGAAAGGACTAAATCTTTTTAAGACTGTGTTACAAAATCACCGGTAAATTACTTTTAAAATCATTAGTTGAAGTAATTAAGATAGGTATCATTTGAATTATAGATAAAGAATTAAGTAGAAATTAGTATATTCTAATTTAAAATATTACAAAAGGGGGAAATTCATGATTTAAAGAGAAAATTTGGCATTGCTTGGGATACGAGAGAAAACAATCTATAATCTAAAATTACGGAGGAGTACGAGTTTTAAATTTTAATAAAAAGTTGGAGAGGAAAATGGTTTTGATCACCCATCTATATAATATCTAAATGCGGTATGTACCTTTTTCAATTAATTATATCACCAATTACCTAATTTTATACGCATTACAAAGTGACAATCTAAATTATTGATGTGATTTTGCGAGTTTCTCACGTGATTCTATAAGTTTCTTTTGATTTCTGCAGTGCACTTGAGAAGAAATTTGAAAGTTTTTCTCCCTACCTTCTGATTTCAATTATGTGAGATCTATTATTTAGTGATTTCTCCAGCCTGAGAAATGAATGTAAACGATATATTTTATTTTTTTTGGTCTAAGTAAACGATATTCATGTATCCTGGCCCATTGACTAACTTCCAAATAAACTCCAGCTCCAGTAGCAGAATAACACCATATTTTTAAGATATGCGCTAAGGCGTGTATAGTATAAAATTTTAAAATTTTATATAAATATTAGTAAGCTATGTATATTTGACACGCAATTGTTAATTATCATTTTGAAAGTATTTCTACAATTTGATATTGAATAAAATAGTATAATAATTATGGATATTAAAATAATTTATACATAGGCATAGTGACTAGAATGTGTATTTAAATTTTGATACATAAATTTAATTAAAGGAGTGTTTGACTAAAGGATAACGGACATACAATTATATATACCAAAGGATCAAAACATATTTTTTCACAAAAATTCTTTCTCTATTTTTATTTTTGCTAAAATAATTAAATCATATAAAATTAAGTGGTTTTAATATTATGATGGTTATAAATATATTTTTAAGAATAAAAAAAATTGAAGAAGTGTTGGTCAACATCATCAACTTTAGTTATAATTTCATACTTATTCTTTCTCTATTTTTATTTTTACTAAGATACTTAAATTATATAGAATTAAGATATTAGCTCATTGAAAATTAGAAAATCAATTTTAATATATAGCATATAAAATATTAATGGCAGTTATCATTATATCTAACATAGAATATATATTTATATTAATATATTTATTTCTCGTAATTGTATAAATACTTACCACTAATAGATTTATTCTAATCTATTTTAAATAATTAATCATATTTAAGGGAAAAATAAGACAAACTTAACGTGTACATTTGGAGAAAACTCAAAAAGAAGTTTTATCACTATATTCCTAATGTGTACCATAAATTGACATAGTAACATTATTCTTTTATTAATTGAAAAGCGCATAAAATTTAGGAAATATTTTAGGATTTCTTATGTAATTCAAATAAGCTAAGGAACGATTGAGTAAATAAAATTTGACTTGATTTTAAAGTCCTAAATATTAGGAACGTAATTCAAATTAATATTTTATTCAATGTAAAATCGATTTTTAAAGAGTAAAAAAGGCGAACAACATTTTGCTAAGAGTCTTCGTACTTTTAATATAGTGCAGATAATAACACTAATACTACTAATAATACTACTACTACTACTACTACTACTACTACTACTACTACTACTACTACTACTACTACTACTACTACTACTA